CTTGATTGTTTCCAGATTGTAAGTGTAAACAATTAATTTTCTTCATACACTAAAGTTAGTCATGGAGTTCCTCAGGATTCATTGCTTGGATCAAAACTCTTTATTTATATATGCTTCCATTAGATAATGTTATTTAACAGAATGGGATAAATTTTCATTGTTATGCTGATACATAATTATATTTGTCCATTAAACCCAATGAGTCCAATCAGTTACTTAGATTACAAGCATGTTTTAAAGACATAAAATCCTCAATGACCCTTAGATTTCTGCTTTTAATCTGAGACAAGACAGACGTTGTGGTTTTTGGACCTGAGCATTTTAGGAATAAATTTTGTAGTCTTTGACTTTCTCTGGATGGCATTAATCTGGCTTCCAGTTCTAAAGTTAAAAAACTTGGTGTTATTTTTGATCAGGCAAATTTGATTATTTTTGATTTTTGTTATTTTATGTCTTTTAACCCCCATATTAAAAATGTTACCAAAACAGCTTTCCTCTACCTGCGTAATATCACTAAAATTAGAAACATCTTGTCCAAAAATGATGAAGAAACACTGGTATGTGCATTTATTACATCTAGACTGGACTATTGCAATTGTTTACTCTCTGGGTGTCCATAAACTTCTTTAAAAAGTCTTCAGCTAATCCAAAATGCTGCTGCCAGAGTTTTAATGAGAGTTGATAGGAGAGATCATATCTCTCCAGTTTAAGCTTCTCTCTTCTGGCTCCATGTCAAATTCAAAATAGAATTCAAAATCTTACTTCTAACCTACAAAGCTCTCAACAACTTAGCTCCATCTTATATTTGAGATCTTATTGTTCCATATTTTCGTAACAGAACACTTCACTTTCAGTCTTCAGGCTTACATGTGGTTCCTAGAGTTTCCAAAAGTGGAATGGGTGGCAGAGCTTTCAGTTATCAGGCTCCTCTCTTGTGGATTGAACTTCCAGTTTATGTCCATGAGGCTGAAATATTGTCTACATTTAAGATTAGGCCTAAGTCCTTCCTTTTAGATAAATCCTATAGTTAACATTGGCTTAGGTTTCCTGAGTTTTCCCTTAGTTATGCTGCTATAGGCTTAAGCCCCCAGTATACTCCCGCATACATTCATACGCAGAGGTATGCACATACGTACGCCGAGGTACGAGCGTACCCCCCAGGGCATGTCCGTGCAAAGCTCAATTCTTACGCGGTGTCGCACAATAATCTGCCCAGCGACGGACTGTTTTGTATGCGACACCAATGTATTAAATTCCCCTTCTTCATCTCTGATCTGGCCTTTTCTTTTTTCTTTTTTTTTGCCAAGAGGCAGTGATCTCTTCCTCCTCCGTTGATGCCATGACTGAAATGGTGAGAAATGAAGGAATTTGTCATGAGAGAATTTAAACTCAGGTCCAGCATGGCTGCGAGAGGGTCTGGAGATTTCCTGGTGGGCTGGTCTGATGTGTGGGCTGCGCAGAGCCAGCGTTCCCTGTTTTTTTTAATAAATTTTTTAGATCTTTTTATTAACAACATATAAACACAGAACACCGCTGCGGCTGAGGCTGCCAGCTCTTGTTTTTTGTCTTTTTTCCAACCTGTCAATCAATCCAGTAGACGTGTCAGCAAATGGCCAATCGGTGACCTCAATTTGTCCCGAAGGTAAACGCCCCTTGTCTGTGAAGCTGCTATGCAGCTGCTCAGGGTGTACGCTCGAGTACGAAGTCTGAACCCTCTGCGTACGTACGCGTGAATGGATGTATGCGGGAGTATACTGGGGGCTTTAGACTGCTGTTGGACAAACTGGCCACATTTCCTCACTCTTAGATCACAGGGGTCAGATAGGGACCATTCAACGTAAAACTTTACACGTCCTGTTCTCAGGGGGCGTGGCTTAAGTGATGCCATGATTTGACCATTCAGTCTTGCAGGGGACCGGATGTGGATCAATTACTGAAGGTTTGATGTCTCAGACAGTTTTTCGTGTAAGAGCTATTAGTGTTTCGTTTTTCATGGCGAGATGTCAAACTTTGAGGTCTGGCCCCGCCCCTTCATCATGCTTCGAAAAGCACCGTTTGGATAACTTTTCTTCCCCCGTGCCTTTTGACCAAAATAGCCAAGTTTGAAACTGATTGAGTGAAATCCCTAGGATGAGTTTGTTCAAATGTAGAGGCTGTAAATCGCCAAAAAGGTGTGAAATTTGGGATGGCATTCCAAAATGGTCGCCTTCCTGTTTATCGTACAACGTTAGTGCCGGAGGATTTTCTGTGCATCTTGGGGAATTGGACAAGTGTACCAAATTTCATGCTTCTACGACAAACGAAGGTTAATGTGGAGGGTATTTTGAAAATTTTCAGGTGGTGCTCTTGAGCCGTTTCTGTTGCGATTTTTGTGACGCCCGATACGTAATTTTTCACCAGTCCTGATGTGTCCGCCAAATTTGGTGAGTTTTGGGATATGTTAAGGCCCCCACAAGGCCAATTCATTTGACAGAAAAATTGCTCAGGCCTAATGAACCGAGCGATTACAATTGGCCTTCGCAGCGCTTCGCTGCTCGGGCCTAAAAATACTTTTTTGAAAAGAATATATGCTGAATGCAGAAGAATATGGGGACTGAAACAGTTTCTCTTCCTTAGACTGAGATTGGCAGCTGGACTTGCATGGATCATTACAATGGTGACAAAAAAGGCAAGAACTGTGGCATCAACACAAGATGTGTATGAGCTCATCCAGGTAGTGAGAGAGAGAAAAAAATTGGAAAAATCCATCTCCACGCAAGTCTCCCCTCCACCTTCTTCACTGTCACACCTTCACTGTCCAAGTGCTCTCTTTGAATGAATTTCAGCTCCTGCCTCCTCAATCATCCTCTCTTTTTTTCTATTCCACTGCCTCCCCTGCCATCCCTGACAAAACTTTGAGAGCTTGCCAGCAGCTCCACTGACTGACTTTATGCTAAAAATGAGAGCTTAAAAAAAGTCTGCTTTGAGTTTGAGAGAGTGGAGGAGGAAATAATTGAAATATGGAGGAGAAACAGGACAAAAGAAGAGTAAAAATAGACTGATAGGTGAGGAGAAAAAAAAGTTTGAGGGCAAATGGTGTTTTCTGACCTGGGATCAGTTTGTAAAGAGACTGAATGAAATGAAAACGCTACCGCTGATCCAGCAAAAATAAGCAGCAGGAGGGAAATTCATTTTTTCAATTAAACACTGAGCATTCTGTTAGGCAGGTCTGCCGTTCTTCATGCAAGAGTTTTACACAAACATCTTGGAGATATGTGATGTGAAATCTAATGAACACTCATGAAATGTCAGAGTCAGAGAGTCAGAGAGATTTATTTTTCATTCGCATCTCATGTGGTACATGTGGTGGAACGAGATTATGAACACAGGGTCCCAGTTACATCCAACAATAAAATGTAAAAGAAAAACAGTAATAAGATCTAAGATATGAACTAAGAAAAACATCAACTAAATAATGCATTAAGCACGAGTAGCACATAAACATTTCGTCGAACAACAGCACGAACATGAGTCTGTGTGAGCAGATGAGCACGCATGAACACATCAACATGAAACATGAAATGTCACTCTCAAGGTATGTTTTAGAATTGATTTATAACTACTACCACATAAAAGTTTAACTATCTCTAACATCGACTGATTGGTACCTTTAATGTGTAATTAGCTGTGGCAGCCATCTTAAATTTAATCCTAAAGTGAATCCAAAAAAGTTGTCTCAGTCTGAAACTGAAGAAGTCTTTCGGATGAAAGACTAAACATTTCTACAATTTTTTTTTTTACTTGTCCAGAGGACCTGACAACGTTTTTTGATTTTTCTACCTGGATGATTGAGCATGTATCAGGATACCTAAAGTGAATCAGTTGCAGATCTACATGTATTGATTACCTTCTGAATGTTGTATAAAAACATGTCCAGAAGTTCATTAGCTATTTAACAAACAGACAGACATGGGAAAGATATTATATTCTGCCTTCGCCTTTCTGTGTTGAGTGTTAGTAAGGTGGTGCACCATTGGCAGTGGTGGAGAAAGTACTCAAACACTGTACTTAAATAAAAGTACAAATAAACAGACAAAAATGTACTCTAGTAATAGTAGAAATACCACATTAACGTTTTTACTTAAGTAAAAGTAAATAAGTGCTTGATTTTAAAAATACTTAAAGTATTAAAAATAAAAGTACTTGCTGAATGTATTACATAATGTAATGGTATACATGTCTTTAAGTCTGCGTACCATATGTATATTTTCTGTAATAAATTAATAGTGTTGCTCCATTTTAATGAACAATGCTGCAGATAATACATGTTTTTATTGTGTTTACTCTGTAACACAGTTCACACTTGGACTTGTGATTCTGTGCGTCAGAATTTCAGGGATGACCTGCAGAGTTAAATGTCATTAATCAAAATAAGAAAGAGGAATGATTTTACCTTTTAAAGTTTTTATTTAACACAAATCAAAACCAATGTGTCGTTTTAACTTCAGTAAACACATTTAAGTAAAAGTTGTCTGCCTGAAAAAGGATCATTAGACCTAACAAAGGAATCTGATAATTTCAACTCCAGTTTGTCATCAACTCTAGTTAAAATACTGTCTAGTTATTCTTGTAATGGATCAATAGTGAACAATATTTTAACTTCCTGACACCATTTTTAAAACTTGGACCTGAGTGTCGAGTCATTTGGAGACATCTCTTGTCTCCTAACATCCCATGAACTGACACATTTTAATATTGCAGCAAGAATTTCTTGTTCAAGTTCAGAAGAAGTTGATTTTCAAAGTTTTTTACTCCAGTCTGTCACTTTTGGGAGAGAGAATCTGTCCTGCTGTACTAAACAGTCTTTCAATAAGGCTATGGGTGGCACATATCTTCTGGCTGACTCTCCACAGTGGAATCCATTTTGTGTTAGCGGTCTGTGGTCCCACAGAGTCCCAGACCAGCTGCCGTGGTCCCACAGAGTCCCAGACCAGCTGCCATGGTCCCACAGAGTCCCAGACCAGCTCCCCAGGCCTCCATGTCGCCTGCTGCAGAAGTCCAGGCCCTCTCTTCAGCTGCTGCAATCTCCAAAACCCCCATGACAGCATTGGCTTGACCCCTGGTTCCAGTGGCCGCAGAACCCCAGATTCCACAGGTGGCAGCGCTGGCTACCATGTTTGCGGCTGTCCTGGCCCCTGTGCTTGCTGTGATTTGGGCTCCCCCTGCATCGCCTCGAGCTGAGTTCCAGGACTCCAAGTTGACTGCAGCACCCCTCCAGGCCTCCAAGTTGACTGCAGCACCCCTCCAGGCCTCCATGTCTGTCCCGCAGACCCCTTGCCAGGTCTACAGTCCTCCATGTTGGCGGCAGCACCCTTCCATCCCTCTAAGTCTCCAGAGGAGCCAGTGCTCTCCACGTCTCCAGAGGGGCCGGCGCTCTCCACTACTGCAGAGGCTCCACAACCACCCATGTCGACTACAAAAACTCCTCGGCCCTCCATGTCGGCTTCAGCAGCTCCACGGCCCTCCATGTCCGCCAAAGCAGCCTCCAGGATCCCCATGTCAGCCAAAGCAGCCTCCAGGACCCCCATATCGGCCACAACGGTCTCTAGGACCCCCATGTCAGAAGAAGCGGCCTCCAGGACCCCCATGCCGGCTGCAACGGTCCTCAGGACCCCCATGTTGGCTGCAGCCTCCAAGACATCCATGTGGGCTGCAGCTCTGATCCTCCTGCCTGGTGGGGCACTGGTCCTGGTCTTGCCTTTGATCTGGCTCCAGCAAGGCTTACACGGCCATCTGACCTGGACTTTGCCACTTTTTGGACAGTGGCCAGGCTGTTCACCAGAGTTTTGGGGCATCTCTGGAGGTCCTTTTGGACCGCCAACCTGCCTTTTTGCCCACCTCCAGTGCCCCCTCCACCCGCCCGGTCCTTAGTTCTTTTTCTTTGGTGGTCCGTCAGGATGCCGGATCTTAAAGGGGGGGCTATGTCATGTTCAGCGGCCCCCGCTGCCCCCCATCTGTTTAAGCCACTGTTCCACTGTTCCACAGTCCCTGTTTTTAGATCATTCACATTTTTTCCTGCTTTAGTTTTGAGTTCCCCTCTCATTCATTCAGCTCCTGTCACCCTGTGTCACGCCCCCTCCACCATCTACCGCAATTTACGTTCATGAGCAACACCTGTTCAGTTCACTATTTAAGCTCCATGTTTCTCCTCAGTCGGTGCCTGATAATTATAGATTCTTTCCATAGATATCCAGCGTTCCCTCTTCATATCATAGTTCTTGACCATAGCTTCGCCCACGACCTTTCGCTCTCGCTTTTGCCCCCCCGACTGGATTCTTCTCTGGTTTTGACCCTTGCCTATAAAGTTCTGCTGCCCAAACCCCTCAGCGTCACAGCTCGCCCATCCAGCCTCACGGCTTGTTCTTGCTCACGCTGCACTCTGCTGCTCTGTGCGCCCTTGCGCATGTTATCGGCTCCTGAGGTTCGGACCGGTACCGGGACCCACCTGGCCCACATCTCGGACTGGTTCCAGAGACAGGGTAGTGGCTTTATTCTTGTTTACTCTGCTCTGCTTACAGCCACTAATCTGTCTGTCTCCCCCAGAACAGTCCAGTACCAGAACCTCCTGCCAGACACCGCCGGTTTTAAAAATAAACTTTTAACATTTTAAAAACCTTTTTCTGAGTCTGTGCTTGTCCGATCCACCCCAATTCGTGACAAGGAATGATATTTTCAGTCTTTCTCCCTCCTTAGATGCATTAATCTGTCCTCCAGCTCTAATGTTAAAAATCTTGGCGTTATTTTTGATCAGGACATGTCTTTTATCCCCCACATTAAAAACGTTACTAAAACCACCTTCTTCCACCTGCGTAATATCACTAAAATTAGAAACATCTTATCTAAAAATGATGCAGAAAAACTGGTCCATGCATTTGTCACGTCTAGACTGGACTATTGCAATGGTTTATTATCTGGATGTCCAAATATTTCTTAAAACGTCTTCAGTTGATCCAAAATGCTGCTGCCAGAGTCTTAACCGGAGTTAGTAGGAGAGATCATATTTCTCCAGTTTTAGTTTCTCTCCATTGGCTCCCTGTCAAATCCAGAACAGAGTTCAAAATCTTACTTATAACCTACAAAGCTCTCAACAACCTGGCTCCATCTTATATTACAGATCTTATTGTTCCATATTTTCCTAACAGAGCACTTCACTCTCAGACTGCAGGTTTACTTGTGGTTCCTAGAATTTACAAAAACAGAAGGGGAGGCAGATCTTTCAGTTATCAGGCTCCTCTCTTGTGGAACCAACTTCCAATCTCTGTCCATGAGGCTGACACATTATCCAGTTTTAAAACTAGGCTTAAGACTTTCCTTTTTGCTAAATCCTATAGTTAGGGTCGGCTTGGGTTTCCTGAGCTGTCCCTTAGTTCTGCTGCTATAGGCTTAGACTGCTGGAGGACAAACTGACCACAATTTTCACTCTGCTACTGTCTTTACTTTCTCTGCTCAACCTGTTTGTATTTGTAATTATTTTTTCTATCCTTAACGTGTGTTTTTTTGTCTTTCAAATACACCTGGACTTATACCTGGACCTGGACCTACCATTCTGTGTTCATCTGTCTCTCCTTCCTGTCCTCTCAACCAGCCGGTCAAAGCAGATGGCCGCTTGTCCTGAGCCTGGTTCTGCTGGAGGTTTCTTCCTTTTAAAGGGAGTTTTTCTTTCCACTGTTGCCACTGTGCTTGCTCAGGATGACAGACTGCAACGAAGCCAAGATTCAACTTGTCTGCTGGATTCCTTAGATAGAGAACTTTACTAATTGGCTTTTATGTGAATGTTCCTGTGAAGTGCCCTGAGACAACTTTGTTGTGATTTGGCGCCATATAAATAAATAATTCTACAGGTGTGCAGTGGAGAGCATCCTGTGCTCCAGCATCAACGTGTGGCATGAAGGCTGCACAGAAGATGTTGGAATCAGTCTCCCCACCATCACAGACATCTACACCTCTAAATGCAGGAAGAGGGCCACCTGCATCATTAAAGACCCCACTCACCCAGCACACACACTTTTTGCCCGTTCCCCTCAGGAAGGAGGTTGAGGAGCATTAAGTGTAGAACCACTAGACTGAGGAACAGCTTCTACCCTGAGGCTGTTAGACTCATGAATCTCTAACCAGAATAATCACTGTGAAAAATCACATCATGTCGCTGCTGATCTGTTTTGTGTTGCTGTGTTCATGCGTGTTCATCTACTCACACTGACTCGTGCTCATGTTCGTGCTGCTGTTCGACGTATTGGTTTTATGCTATGAGTGCTTAGTGTATATTTAGTTGATGTTTTTCTTAGCTCATATCTTAGATGTTATTACTGTTTTTCTTTTATATTTTAATGATGGATGTAACTGGGACTTAATTGTGTACATAATTTTGTTCCACCACATGTGGTGGAACGACAACAAAGAATTTCTGACTCTGATTAATTAATTAAGTGGAATGGATTTGTTCATGGAGAAATAGAGGCAGCGCTGGATGAACTGATATTTCATGGTAAATGTGTGTGGGGGGAGTCCAAATGAATATTTTTTAAATGTGAGTGACACACTTTCACTTCACATATAATTGTTGTGACGCCTATGTGGTGCACACATTTGTGTGTGCACATGTGTGTCTGTGTGTGTGTGTGAGCGTGTGTGAGCATGAACACGTGTGTGCGATTTGGTTTGTGTGTGTCTGCATATGTGTGTGTAAGAGAGAAACACAGAAACAAGGAACAGGAGCGAATAAAAGAGTCCAGCCACATTATAAATATTTATATGAGCAGCGAGGGAGAGGAAGATGGCAGAGCTGCAGAGGAGGAGGAGATAATGGAAGAGGAGGAACAGAGAGAGGAGAGGCTGACTTCAGATGTGGCAGCAGGTGTGTTTGGCTCTCTTTCTCCTTTCATTCCAGTCTCCCCCGTAGCTTCACTCACTGCTGGAGCACAGCCTGGTGCATCTGTAGCCTGGGCTTCCAGCAGTTCTCAATGTGCGAGTGTTAAAACAGATTTAGGACGAGAAGTTGTCCCCATCCTCCTGTCTCCTGGCTTTCTGAGTACTCTCGAAGAATGAGAACAACACACAGAGTCTGAACTGGGCAGGCCCAGGAAGGTTTGTGCTTCTCGTGGTAACACCAATGACAATCAGGGTAACAACAGTGGACCTGTCAATTCAGAGATTGTTTTCATTGTTGCCCAGCCTTGTGGAAGGTTTTAATTTATTACTATTAATAATTATTATATTAATAATTATTTATTAAACTAAACAGCCACTGGCCAAAAGGATGGTCCAGCACAGAAGAGAAACATCATCAGGCCAGGACTCTGCAGTCTACACTCATCTGCAGACCACAGGTCACTCTTTCAGGGATGAAGATGTTCACATACTTGTTAGAGAGGAACATTGATTTGAGATAGGAGTGAAGGAGGCCATCTTTGTGAAGAGAAACCGTCCATCATTAAACAGGGGCGGAGCCTCCATGTCCAATGGTCCCCCTCTTACAATGCTGTTATTGCTAATATCACTCAGCTCTCTGTGAAGAACAAACAGCCATCAGGGTGCTAACAATCAATTTTAAAGCCCCCACTATACTCCTGCGTACGTCCATTCACGCGTACATACGTGTGAATGGACGTACTGCGTGTACTGTACGCAGAGGGTTCAGACTTTGTACTCGAGCGTACACCCTGAGCAGCTGCAGAGCAGCTTCGCAGACAAGGGGCGTTTACCTTCGGGACAAATTGAGGTCGCCGATTGGTCACTTGCTGATACGCCTACTGGATTGATTGACAGGTCGGGGGGAAAAAATACGAGTGCTGGCAGCATCAGCCACAGCGGTGTTCTGTGTTCATATGTTGTTAATAAAAAGATCTTAAAAAAAAAAAAAAAACAGGGAGCGCTGGCTCTACAGCCCACACATCAGACCAGCCCACCAGGAAATCTCCAGACCCTCCCACAGCCATGCTGGACCTGAGTTTAATTTGCTCATGACAAATTCCTTCATTTCTCACCATTTCAGTCATGGCATCAACGGAGCAGGAAGAGATCACTGCCTCTTGGCCAAAAAA